TCACATTTGGCCCATTTATTCGACAAGGCTAAAAAAACTGGCCAGAAAGAAATTTTACGTTGGTATTGTTATAGTGAGGAATTCGAAAAAAAGGTCAGAGACATTAGCTTAAAAAACGAACTTAATGATCAGATGGCGAGAACACAGATTTATAATGAAATGGAACCATTTCTTCCTGGCATCAAGGGAGTATTTGCGTAAGAAAACTCAAAAGGCTAGAAATATTTATACATTGTTCAAAGAAATAGGAATAGATAAGATCAAGCAAGTTACATATAGTGCCGATGCTATTTCTAGTTTAACTGGTGCTCAAATACAAAATATAATAAAGCTTTTCTCTGAAAAACCCAATGTAGAATTATTTAATGAACAAACTGAATGTCAAAAAGTGATCGGTGTGAAGATTCTTCACGCGCAAACGACCAAACCATCTTGCTCAATGACATATCAAACATTGAGGTAAGTATATGATAACGTTGATAAAGACGATAATGAAATGAGTTCAGAGGAATCAATCAAGGCAAGTGTATCATCTAATCCAACTCATGACCATGCATACTTTCGTAATAAGACATTGTTGCAATATTCTGATCTATATAAAACATTTATTACTGAAAAATTTGATATTATTGAGGGATCGTTATGCCCAGTATGTAAATTAAATCATGAAGATGGGAAAAGTGTAAAAGATAGATATGAAGCTGGATCCTATTTTATTATATGTGGAAAGCGTGAAATCGAAATAACAGAATAAATCAAAGTTATACAAATTCTTCTGTTTCAAATGATCGTAAATTAAATAATAATATTTATTTTTTTAATTGCGTTTACGGCCAAAGAATAAGTCAAAACTCATACTTAAATTGAATTTGCGATTGTATAAAACAATAATATGGATAAAACCTTAACTCCCGAATATTTGGACTGGCATGCTAAATTGGTTGATTTACCGAGTCAATTGTCAGATAAAGTTCATTTGATCTTATATAGAGCATATACGGAAGAGACTGGGCTCGATCCCTGGATAATGTCTGAAACTCCCGAACCCCCAAGTTTCCGGAGGAAAAAAGTATAATCCATGATGCAGTACGTAAACGCTTTCCTTTCTTGATATATACTAATTCTAATGTATGGCATCGAGATGTATTTAAGTATACCGATTCAGAAGCTAAATGCCCAGTATGCAAAAAGGTACATATCTAGGTAAAGATGATCACTATTTTCTTAATTGTCCATTTCGTATTGATCAAAAGAAAGTTATTATTGCTGTACAGAATTTGCCGGTAAGTGTGTCGAACAAACCTCGAGAGAGATTTTCGGTTATTACAGAGGCTGAGAAAAAAAGGTGGAGCATGGGATGCTTCCGTGGTGATTTGGAGAGAGATATACGATTCTATTGTGGAGGAATAAAAAGGAATGAAGATACCAGAAAATATCATAAATTTTTAACAGATCGGGATAGGCTGGTTGGTGAAGAGTTATCACGTCGTGGTATACTAAAAAGCGGTTTAAGTACTGCATGGCTCGATGATCTTATGGAAAAATCCACACTCATTTTGTAACCAGGAGAGCCAAAGTATACATGTTATTTGTGCAACCTAATTATACTTAAATGGTGGGTCATTAAAACATTACATCCGAGGTACACATTGTGTCTAATTTTCCTTTTATGTTCTTATAATATAGATGTAATGAAGATACGATGAAGGTGCGATGAAGTTACGATAAACTTTTTTCCTATATAATTATATGAGATGAACACGTAATGGTAGAATTTCGTATTAATAAAATTATGAGTCAATCACAAATAAATCTGTGCGACAATAGATTTCTCATTCGTACTACCCTTTCATTACTTTTTTAATTGCTAAAGCTATGTTATTTAATGTTGCAGGTTCCTTCGCCAGTGTTCCTGTTATTCCTTCATTTAATCTTCCGATAGTCAAGGAAGTAAAAGAATTTAATGTCGAAGAACTTAATGGCTTTTTGAAAAGGAGATTAAATGGCATCGATAATCACATAGATATCTTAACTGTTTAAGAAGTTGATGGTTCAACATTCCTTGATTTTATTGTGACAGACTTTGAAAGATAGGAAATACCAGGTGGTTTATCTAAAAGAATTGAAAAGTTAATTAAAAACATACAAGGAGGTAAAAGAACTTATTCTTATTCAAACTGTGTTAATATTTATTAATAATATCAAATATTTACTTCTTTCTATATTTTTCTTTTTGCTTCTTATTGTCAAATTCATCCAAAACACATTTATACATAGTTACTCTTGATAAGTCGGATTCATCGGGGCAGAGATTTTGTCCAACTTATCGCGAGATCCGACTTATTGAATTTCATAATATTTTATTAAAAAAATTTTGCTTTTTATTTAAATATAAGCAATAGGCAAATATCAAATATTTAATGATAACAAAAGTATCTAAATATTATATACGAATTCATTTTTTTACAAAATTTTCCAACGTGAACTGTTTTAGAGAAGCATTTTGCTTTCTTCCAATTTGATGCTATAAGTCTTTCAATCTTGAGATTACAGATACATTTACTTTTATGTCAGGATTTTGTTGTAAATAGTTGAATATAATTTGAATACTATTCAAAACAAATATATTTGATACTATATTACATTCTTCCCCTTTCTCTTTCCCATCTTTTTCTTTCTCTGGTGCTTCCTGTACTGCAGCAATTATATCCCCTTTATTAATTATATCAGTTACTTCTATCCTAATATCAATGTTAATGTAATCGCTTGCTACAATATTATCCATGTTCATTTGATATATAAGTAACTGGATTTTATTTTCTTTGGCTTTTAATTCATTTTCTAATTCACTTTCTTCTCCGTGCATTTCATTATTAGGCAAAATACCTGTTTTTTGTCAATAACGATATATTGTATCATTAGTGACACTATCCCATGCTTGAGCAGTTCAGTTGATTGCATTCAAAATATTTAATTTGGAAATTTCAATATCAAGCTCATGGTGTTTATCAAATGCTTAAATCTTATCTTCATATAATAATTTTCTATAGTGAGTCTAATTACAACAAAAATAAATATAAGTTATTTTTATCAAAGTATAAGAAAGTAATATATATGGATAATTATTTTGAATGAACTTATTATATCTTGGTCAATCAGTTGAAGATGAGAAGTTGTGTTTGGTAAAAGAAAGTACAGTTTAATATTATTTAATTTTTCTATTTCACTTTTTGCTAATTAATATGATGAAGCATTATCTATTAATAATAAAATATTTCTCTGTTTTTTTCCTATTTCTCTATTTAATTGTTTGATCCAGATTCTAAAAATAAAGTACTATATCCATGATACATTGTTCCAGAAATATTGTACAGGTAGCGTTCGTTTATCAATATAATAAATATAGCATGGATTTTTTTTATTTATAAATAAATAACAGAGATAATTTGTGAGTTCCAGTTGGGTTACATATAAGCATAATAGTAATTCTGTCTTTTGGTTTTTTTAATCCATTAATAGATCCACTGGCAAGTGACTTATAGGATTTTAACTTCCAATAAAGACCCATCTCATTTATATTATATATGTCTTCTAAATCATACTGTAAAATAATAGATTAAAGCTCAATTTGAAATCCAGGTAATTAATGAATCGGTATACTTGCAGCTTCTTCCAATTTATAATATTTTTTAATATTATTTTATTTTTTAAAGTTTGCCATCCAGCCCTATTTAAAATATGATATATTTGATGATTGTTATATATAATAATAATTAGTCAAATTGATTTACTCATTAGTTTAACAATGATATAAAAAAAAATTGATATTTTCTTATGAGGATTTAAAATCAGGAATATTTAATCTTTCAGCAAATTGTATTGCCTTTTGACTTAAAATTGTACCAGTTATTGTATAATTAGTCTCGTTCGCAAGATTTATTCAAATCACTAATGCTTCTTTCAATTGGGACTATTTGCAACCACGATTACATTTCTTATTGGCATCTGTAGAACTTTTGGTAACTGCAAGCCACTTCTCTTTTTCTCTAATAATATCTCCTACTATTGATTTGCCAACATCAAATTTTTTACCAACCTCTTTATACGATTTACTTGGATTATCCGCTTTATATTTACACAATTTTTTTTTTTGAAGATTGGTAAGTATAATTAATTTTCTTTTTTTATTCCCAAGTTAAGATATTCCTTCCATGTTTATTTTATTAATATAATATATTTCAAGAAAAATTCAGATGATTCAGTTATCAACGTTGTATAAGTTATATATTATTCATATAAGCACTATAATATGGGAAAGTGGTGATACGCATATCACCAACACTAGATACCAAGACATATCACGCGCCATAATTAAAACAAGCCACGACAAAATAATAGCCGCATGTACATGAAAATATGGGAGGCTTTGATAGGAAATATAACATAAGCAAAAAAAGACTGGGCGAAGTCACGTGCCACATTTCTGCTTGATAAAATTAATTAATTATATAAGATGGTAACAAAAATGATGATTGTATTATGTAATAGTTTTGCCGCAATTTAATATTTTTATATTTTTATTTTTTTCTTCTTTTGTTTATTTTATTTTCATTGTTAAATCTTATGTAATTACTGGATCTCATGTATTGTAAAGAGAGAAAAAGAATAATATTTGACGACAATTAATAATAAATCAAATTCTCGACCATAATCACATTCACCTCTTTGAGTATTTCTCTTTCTTTTTTATTGAAAAACTAAAGTGCTAGCTGTATGAATTCTGTTTCCAGCTAGGGACAGGCTCGCCACTAGCCCATTACAAAAAATTGTTATAGCGCATTATAATTATAATGTAATAATAATGTTTTCTTATAATAATAGATATACTCGTATATATTATATAATACATTGTTTGTGATAATCACGTTCTAGACAAGCAAATAAGATAATATTGCATATATAGTAATAGCATTACAATATCAATATTGTTTACGATGAAAATTTTCATTGGGTAATTAATTGTATGTATATACTAAAATGGTAAAGATTATCATTAAACGATCATGTGTCTGACTTATCAAGAGAAATTTGTTATAAATCGATCGAAAGATCATTTGACTTATGATTTATCGCGATTTTATATATGTATTTGACTTATCGAATATTTTTAAATATTGAAAAAAAGAGGTGGAAAATTTTGTCTGAGTTAAGTCAAATCCAACTTATTGAGTGTCCGACTTATCGAGAGTGACTATATATTATTATAGATTAATCTATTACTGGTAAATAATTTATAATCAATTAGTTAATATAGTAAATATGATATGGTTTGACTTTTATAATTATTGTTATATTGTTTTTCATCTATATTGTATTATATTAATATTTCAAATCCTAATAAATCTGTCTTTATTATAAAATTATTAAATATTTTATATAATCAATATTTAAAAATCAAATATTGGACTTGTATCCATTTTTGCAAACAATTTCAACTTGTTTATCAAAGGAAGTATATTATAGGTTAACTAGAAAAGCAGGCATATTTGATTAGCAAAGAAATTTCTTTTACCTCAATCAGCTTTATATTAATCATAATTATTTTCTATTAACAATATTGAAAGAATGACAAATAAGTAGCAATTCAATTATTGTTAACTTTCATCTGCTATCAAATAATTCACTATAGAAGCAGATTCAAAATCAAGATTATAATATAATTATTTATAATCAAAATATCAAAAATAAAAAAAAAAAAGTAAATATAGCTCTCAGGATTTTTATAATAAATGTCATCTGGTCTAATGATTCCAATATATTTGTTCTAATAGTTGGTGATAGAGATTATAAACTTGTAATAAATGAGGTTCTAAAATATAAGTAAAAGATTAAAATCTGGTTTTGTTAATTAGATATGAAATATTGCTATATTTAAATCATATAGTTTTCTAAATAAATATTTCATTACATAAAAATATTTAATAATCTCATGAGAAAATCTATTTTTTATTTTTTGAATAATTTCTATTAATATTATATATATATATATAGATAAGAATCTATTGGAAAAAATTATATCCTTGAAATAATTGACAATGAAACAATTGAAAAATAAAGGATAATGAAATAACAAATTGTTTTGTTTTATTAAAGTTATATAGATGATAATATTGGAAAAAAAAACAGATTATATATTTGTACTTTGATAACAAAGTGAATTTGAAAAAGACAAAAAATTAGATGAAGATTAAATATCCTAATATATAGGTTTGGGAAATAGAAAAGAGAGGTAAGTACTATTAAGTATAGCATATATTTTTTTAATGTTGATATAAATAAAACAAATCAATTTTAATTTGTTTTGGATTGAATTTGTATAAGTATTAATCAATAATTATATTCCCAATACAAATTACTGATAATAATTCATAAACAATTATTATTATACCTTTGAAATCTCATTTATTTTATATTATTTGTTTATTTATAGATATGACTTTATAAATTATTAAAGTGATTACATATAATAGGTAACCTAAGATTGTTTACTAAAATCTCTTAATAGACTATCAAACTTTATTTGATATAATTTATTTTTGTATTATTAATAAAAAAAATTTTAAAGTTTAATTTTTGATATTATTAGTTTAACATTAATTAAAATTAAATAATAAAGTTTATCCACAATTTGAATTTTATTTTTTTTAATCATATATATATATATTTTGTATAAATAATTGACCTTATAAAAATAATGTACTTTGAGATTTTTTTAATACTAATCATGGATTCATTTTCAATAATAGAATTATACATATGATATAAATTATTTGCTATTAACTCAATTATTAAAATTCTCAAAAATAATTGTATTTGATTTAATTATTTTATATGTTTTAATAATGACTCAATTAATTGTATCAAATAATTGTGTCAAATTATATCAAGAATCTATTAATTTCTACTATATATATAAATAGAATAGTATTCTATTATATACAGTGCCCCCCAATAAATGAAGGACCACTTAAGAATTATTA